TGGGAGCAGGGGGAAGGGGTTCCAGCTGGCAGAGGGAGCTGGAGCTGAGATGGGAGGGAGAAATTCTGGGCTGTGAGGGTGGGGAGCCCCTGGCCCAGGTTGCCCAGGGAAGCTGTGGCTGCCCCATCCCTGGGGGTGTTGAAGGGCAGGTTGGATGGGGCTTGGAGCAGCCTGGGCTGCTGGGAGGGGTCCCTGCCCATGCAGGGGGGGCACTGGGTGGGCTCTGAGGTCCCTTCCAACCAACACATTCTGTGATTCTGCTGAGCATCCTCTTCCAGCCTGGGTTCCAAACCACTCCAGAGCTGGGCAGTGAAGGCAGGAGCAACCCCTGCCCTTGTGAAGCAGCACAACATCAGTGGTGACACTGATGACACAGCCAGCTCGGAGCAGGGATGTTGTGTCATGACCCTGCACAGCTCCTGGGGCTTCACTGGGGCCACAAATCAGCAGGATGCAAACAACCACCAAACCCTCTTTCTCCCTCCATTCTCCAGTGGTGAGAAGCCCTGACTCCCCCAGGATAGTGTGGTTCTTACCTCCAGCAGCTTGTCCCCCACACGAACCCCTGCCCGAGCCGCGGGACCCTCTTCTGACACGCGGGAGATGAAGATGCCCTGGGAAGAAAACCTCTTGTTAGAAGAGGTGGAGCCCCTTGCTCAGCCCTCTGAAGTGTGGAGAGACCACAGGACCCTGCCCAGCTGATGGGAAAGGGCAAATCCCTCACCAGTCCCACCCCTGGCTGTGGGACAGGACAGGGACATCACCCCACCCAGGAGGAGAAAGGGGAAGGAAACCCCTGGCAGGGCCAGCCCAGAGGTGACAAAGGGGAAAAGGGAAGGACACTGGGAGCCTTTTCCAGCAGGATGACCCCATGATGCAGCTGATGCCACCAGGTGTGGAAGCCAAGCCTGTGAGTCCTGCAGCTCAGGACAGGGATGAGGAAGAGGAGGCTGTTCTGGTGGCTGCTCTCTGGGGTCAGCAGCAGGAAGGTAGAACCAGTTGTGCTCCAGAGGCAGGAGGAGGCTCAGCCCTGCCCAGGGTGGGCCCAGGGCTGCTCCCACCCTGCTCTGAGAGCCCAGCCACAAAGCTGAGGAAGGGTCTGGAGCACAAGTCCTGTCAGGAGAGGCTGAGGAAACTGGGAGTGTTTAGTTTGGAGAAGAGGAGGCTGAGGGGAGACCTCACTGCTCTGCAGCTCCCTGGAAGGAGGGGCTGCTTCTCCCAAGGGAGTAAGGACAGGACTGGAGGAAACAGCCTCAAGTTGCCCCCAGGAGGTTCAGGTTGGATCTTGAGAAGAATTCCTTTATGGAA